TAACAGCCTGAACTTTAAACTGGCTTCACTTCATTCCTCATAGTTGCAAATGTAAGTAAAAACCAAGAAGGCAGGATCCTTTTGTGTTGTTAGAGGGACTTGGAGGGCAACAAGTCGCCCTGCTGGAAAAGCTGAAAGATCAACTTGCTGACATTTCCCATACAGAGCATTTGACCTTCATCTTCATGCTGTGCTCACAGTTTACATGCTTCACTGTCACGCCAATAGCCTGTTCTCCTGGCAGTTACTTCTGAAGACAGTTCTTTCTGCAGGACCTGGTAGCAGCAAGATTTTGAACTGGCATAGTTTATCGGTGTTTGTTCCTTCATCTTTCCAGTGAACATCTTGGCTTTGGATACTGAGCTCCTCTCCAGGTTAGACAGGCATTTGTATCTGTTCTGGAGTTTTATGATCTCTAAAATGGCATCATGGACTCTAGAAAGCAATTCTTTGGGACACTGTATCTAAGCATGCTCCTGATAGAAGTCACCTACTGTGACAACTGTTTACTCTTGATTTACTCTTGAAAGGGAGAATTTAATTATCATGCATATTTACACTTATCAGAACAACAGTGACTGTGTGCTATGTTAGCTTCTGATGTGCATGGTAACTGTGTCCACCAGAAATGCAAAGGGAGGCCACACCAACTGAGTGAGGACGTCAGGATGAGAAAGGCACTAGTCTAGTATATGGATATTTCCTGATCATATAAATCCTAGGCCAGACAAAGCTCTCTTCAATAGAATAACTCTGTTGGTGGTTACCCTACATGTTACCTTTGAGTTCCTAAACAGGCTGTGACCTACTGACAGGGGTCAGCCACAAGACTTCCTATCCCGGGAAAGTTTGTTTAGTACATTACAATAAAGTTTGATAAAGTTAGCTTGACGTGTTATCAGAGATTCAATACTTGACTGAAGATTACCCGGAATGGAAACACTCCCTGCCTGTGTTTTTCTTGCTGTCTTCTCTGTAGATAAGATATTTAGTCCAATGTCTGTGTGTGTAGTTGCTTTCCAGGGTGTGCAACTAAATCCCGGGACAGGATGAACCCAGGGCAGAAGAGAAGCAGCAGATGCTGGGCACAGGAGGCTGTACACTAAGGAGCAGTATCCATAGCCACGCCAACTGCAGCAGATCTGTATTATGATGATGCAGGGTGTTGACCACCAAAGCTAGCTTGCCCCTGCCCTCCCAAGAGATTTAAGCTCATGGATGGGAGTAGGCTGAGAGTGGCATGGATAAGAAAAGAAGCACAACATGAGTATCCTACAACAGTTTGGCAAGCTATCCAGTAGCTGCCTATGCATCTGAAAAGAATTTCCCTCCATAGTGGAAAAACCTTACTCCAGAAAAAGAGAGGCAGTGGAAAGCTGTTAACATGGGCCTGTAACCTTTGACTACAAGGATGGCCCACAAAGCAAGCCTTTCCAAGGAAGAGGGCAACAAGATTTGTCCACAGCCAGTGGACTCCCGTACTCATCACTACTCTTCATGTTCACAGCACAGTTGTTGCTCTTAAGAGGCAGAACATATACATGGGTCATGTATATGAGGCCATGACAGAGACTAGAAAGACACCTCACCAGCAGGCAGCAGCCTCTGGAGTAGAGCAGCCTCAAGCCTGGAGCTGATAAGGCCATTTGTGCCAGGACGCCAGTAAATGTGCTTTAGTGCAGTTGCTTGTTATGACTGAGGATGAGGAAGGCCTTATCTGGCAAGTCTCCCAGAAAAAGCCCAGTTGAGGAACATTTGAAAGCCAGGCACAGACAGGAGAGTGATCACTGCTCCACATCAGAAATACCCAACAGCAAATAATGAACAATCCCACTCTGGAAAGTACTCAGATGAAATGGCAAGGACATAGCCTTCTGCGTGTTCATAGATGAAGACAGTGGTGTCTAGAAACCATGACTTAAGGGCAGAGAGATCAGAAGAGGAGCAGGCGAAAAAGAAGACTGTAAAAGTTTGTGAGCTTGCTACCAAGGGCCAAATCATAGGTGCGCACCAGCAGGTCCTAGGTCAGATGTACAAAGCGGTTTTGAACAACTTTGACAAGTGAATTGATCCTGCGTCAGGGATTTACCTTGTCACATGCCTGTGACAGTTTTGATCTGGTCTTCAGTGTCGCAAAATTATATTTATAGCACTCCTGGTTTGGTTGAGCCAAACTTCCTCATGCACAATGTTTGTAAATAATACTGGCTTGTGAGGTTCCTGTTGTGCCTCATGTGTGGTAGTCAGCATGGTTTCTGGACACCACATGACAAGCGGTCATGCAACAGTGATGCTGTATAGGTTCTAAAAAAAAGCATCAATTTCAAATCTCAAAAGTAGTATGGGTAAGGATGAGATCAAGATCTGAGAAAGCAGCAATCCTGCCTGTCAAGTAATCATTTCATTAATAGGACCATACTGCCTAATCCATTTGGAAGCAAGAAAAGATTCTCATAAAGTGACAGATCAGCCAAAGGATGTAACAAGTGCCTCTACACCTCCACACATAACAGAGGATTTTATGTACCGTCATTTCAGTATAGGCTAACAATGGCATTCTGCTTTAAATGTTTTACTTAAGTGATACAGGAGGAAAAATGTGGATGTACTGGGATCTGAAGTATACATGGATCAGATAAAAGGCCTTATTTACCCATATGTTTTCATATAGGTCTGTGTAGACCTTAGACTGGAGTTGGGAAGACACTCATTCCTTTACTATTATCTAAATGGCATTATTAAGTTTTTACAAGACAGTAGAGTTAATCATTTTATGCTCACTGACTGTAAGTGTGCATGTAAGCAAATATTTCAATAGAACACAGGGTACAACTGGAAATAGTTAATGGATCTGAGGGAGCAGAGCTACCTTTTGCAATAAAATATTTGTCTTTGAACTTTGGAATAGGAGTGTCAGACTTTTTTTTCTTTTTAACCTCTGTCTAAGCCAAAAAAGCCCCCTAGTTCCAAATGGCCATTCTTTAGTTCAACAATAACTTTTAAAATGTTCTTATAAATACTAAAGCAGATAAATGTATTTCTGCTATTTGCTTGTTTCACAGCCACACCATTTGACTGGTAAGAACTGCAAGCCCACCAGTGGCTGCAGACATGACAATTTCTGTCATGGTGGTAGGGCATACTTTGAAAGAGAAAAGAGAGCTTCAGATCTTTGGTAAAAGAATGTAACCGTGCTGGGGCTAAGATTGTGTCATGGCTGGGGCTAAACCACGACATTGTATGCTTGGTTACATCCCAGGTGGAGGTGAATATGGGTTACATTTGTTTTGCCTGTCCTGTTTTCCTCTTTCTAGATCAGAGATGCTCATGGCATTTTGTCCTCTTCAGGTTACACAGTTCCCTTCTTTATTCACTAGGCAATTCTGTCGGCCTTTCTTAATTCTCTGAGAACTTCAGGATTGCTATTACAGGTTCTTCACTGAAACCTTCCCTGGCAAGAAAGCACAAAGGAAGAGCCTCCATCTAAGAGGCTCAGAAACACATAGGAAGGCACAGAAAGAAACAAGTTGTGAATCTCAGCACAGAGCCCAGCATTGATTTAAGAGATCTGCTGACTGCCCCATTCTCACTTTTTTATCCTGTGTGCCCAACATGCCTTGCTAGCACTGATCCGTTACAGGAACTGTAAGTGATTCTGTCTCTCCCCTTCCATCATACCTAGGACATTGCATCTGCAGTTCATTTGTACAGCTTTCCACCCAAGCAGAAGCAAGGTGCCTAGGAAAGAGTAGGCAAGACAGCAGAGGCAGAGCTCAGGCTGCACTGTACCAGAGAAATTAGGTGTAGTGCTCTGGCAAGGCTGGAGAAATCAGCTTTGAGAGTTGCTGGCAAGACCCTGATCAGCCCTCCTATATGGCCAGGGCTGGACTTACCTCAAGTGCTTACAAAGCCTTTTGCTCAGGGCACACTGAGGTCAGAATTTGGGCACCATGCCACGGCTGTGGCTTGGGCCAAACGACAGACACACTACCAGAATATTGTCAACAGAAGTTCATTTTTAATTCCTATTGGGCACTTCATACTGCCAAAACTTCTCCCACCCTGTCAGCTTTCAGTTAAATCAGGCCACAAGAAGTTATGGGAAGTCATACACCGACCCACATACTACGTTATATTTGTTTTCACTAGATAGCAGGCAAGAAAAGCCTTTCAGGAATTTAAAGCATATCTTCAAATGTGTCATAGATAAATTACAAATGCCAGTTTTTATCCCCTGAAAAGATGTAAAGGTAAAAGAACTCCAGTCTTGCCATGCAGGTGCATGCCCAAATTTTACTACTTGTGCTTCTGCAAGATTCACTGACACAAAGGGATGCACCATGGGGGTACTCCTAAGTCTTTGAACACATGTATTCAAAACTGGATAAAAAGATTGCAGCCTGAGATCCTGAGTGTACAGGAGAAATAGTAAGCAAATGCTAACAATGAAGTAAAAATTACAGACATTGTGTGCATAAATTCAGTATTCTTTGAAAGACACAAAGTTATTTCTCAGTTGGACCTAAATCCATAGAAAGCGCTACTAAGAAAGTGATATTTTATATTGCAAATTAAGAGAACATTAAAAAAGACTTCATATGAGACAAGGTGGAAACCAGCTGGCCTAGCAGTAGGTAATCAAATGGAAACTGAAAAAATGAGTTAGCCAAAAAAAAAGTCTTAGGTAAATTTCAATTTGACAACGAATTGGAAATCTTAATATCCTGTTAACTCAAAATCCAGCAAACAAGTTCATTATATTGCTTCTGTTGCTGCTGCTGGAATAGGAAAAGGGCATGGATTGGACAAGAAACATGACTTGCTTATGGTGAACACCCATTACTTTAGAGGAAGGAAGTTTGTATACAATTCCAAGAACCCTAGTTCCATGTAAATTTTGAGAGCCAAAAGAAGGCAGCCATCTGACCCATTATCTGCAACCAATTGCTACCTTTGCTGTAATCTTTACATTTGTACTTTTTATTACCTGTATTCTTCAGAGTGTTCAATGGGAAGCTTCACTACAATTTTACTGCCTTGGATAACCTTATGGATCGCCTGTGGGAAAATAAGCTAATTCCAGGTAAGGGCAGCTCCCTACCTGCACAGCTTGTTACATCTGTTTGCCCATAGTGTGCAATCATCAGAAAATTCTTAAGAGAGCTTTGCCAAAGCTGATTTTAATAAAATATAATTCTTTTCCTACTTGGTTTTACCTCATGTCCATGTAAATGTAAACAGTGTGACCAAAACACTATTATGGCGATTAAGACAACACAAATGGTTTTACATTGCTTTCAATAACAGTTTGAGATGTATCAATTGGGAAATGAGGTCTCTTGAAGAGGAGAAAGGAGAAAGTTCGTACCTGAAAGGGCCAGAGAAGCAGATACTCAATGTATAGCTTCCCTTGAATTTTTGCAAACATCCACTGTTTAAAGTTCCCTCCAAGCCCTGAATTTATGATGGTGAGCATTACTATGGATCACTATAGTCATTGACAACTAAGTGTGAGCAACCTCAAATCTGAAATATTCCTGGTGGGGCCATGTAGAAACAGGAAACAAAGCCCGTTTAATGATGCTTCTTCATTAACAAGTTTGTTTCAGATAATGCAATAACCCCTTTGTTAATCAAAAGGAGGATAGCATTCACAAAAAAAGGAGACCAATCTATTGTGTCTTTTTTAGGATTTGAATTGATGGGGAATCCATCAGGATATTTTTTAGATTTTGAAGATAAAGAACAAGTAGTAAGATGGAGAAACTTAATTACACTTCTGGCCAACAGATACATAGGTAAGTTAAAAAAAACCAAACGCCCTGTTGTTTATTCTGTTCTAATCCCTTATAACTACCTCAAAAAGTTCTGTGTATTGTTATCAATTTCAAGACCCTGGATTTCAGCACAGAACAGGAAAAAAACCCATGCAGGAACAGACAATGGGATAATAGCCCCTTTTTTGGCTGATCCATGACCAACATTCTGAATGAGTAGTGTGTTCTGGATGGTACATTAGGCCTGCCTCTGAGGACTGACTTTAACTTTGTTGTGTTATTGTGGTTGTAAACCACCAGCTTGCACTAGGACATGGTAACCTGAATACTTCCCACATGCCAGCTTCAAATATCTCTAATGAGACAGAAGCCTCAACCTGAATTACGGCTAGGTGAGTTCCCTAACCACAAGGCTGTAGCTCACATCACCTCCCTCTCACCTTTCATCTTTTTGAAAGCATTCCATCAAAAATGAGAGATCATTTTGAAACTACCAAAATTACATTTCCCTCATAATTAAAAATAGGTAATATTTATATCCTGTTGTAGCTCTGGGTGCTGAACCTCACCAGCAGCCCTAATTGATAGGATTGTCTAGATCAGCGGCTAATTGATAGGATTGTCTGAATATGCAGCTCACTGATAAATGAGGCCTCTCCTACAGCTAGATATGGATTGGAGCATGTTGCTAAATGGAATTTTGAAACATGGAATGAACCAGACCACCACGACTTCGACAACATGTCTATGACAGTGAAAGGTAAGCACATTCTGGAGCACTTACTAGTGTAGTAAAGTGAGATGGGTGTGCAGGGTGGGTGGAGGGGTGACAGCAAGAAAGGAGAGATTCTGGCAAAGAAATAAGGTAGATAGGAGAGATAAGGAATGTGAAAGATATACCTAGTCTGTTTTCCTAAGGTCATGTTACTGACTGTGTTTTGTTCCCTGCTTAGACATCAGTATGAGTATATGGATAGCAGAAGGGGAAACAGAACAGGAGTTACATTAAGAAGACATAGTTCATTATTTGGATATAAAGTGAGGTTACTAGGGGCATGGGGATAAAGGGTGGAGTAAGAGGAAAACTCTTCATTGACAGATGCTTGCTTTGGGAACCTGTCCTCACAAGACCTTCGGAAAAACCTTGTGAATGCAGCTGAGGTTCTGACATTTTGTGTTGTCAGTGCATAGGAAAGAGTAACCCCAGTTTGTGAGGTCCTGCCAATAAATGCAATGATAGTTAGAACATGTCCCTGTAATTTTAGGTCAAGATTCTGTTTTGAGTTATCATCTTTGATGTATGCATCTATTTGGACTTCAGGGTTTCTCAACTATTATGATGCTTGCTCAGAAGGATTAAGAGCAGCCAGTCCCCTACTAAAATTTGGAGGGCCTGGGGATTCCTTCCACCCCTTACCCAAGTCACCCATATGCTGGAGTCTTCTGTGTCATTGCTACAATGGAACCAACTTCTTCACAGGGGAGACTGGTGTAAGGCTGGACTACATCTCTCTCCATAAGAAGGTCAGTCCAAGATTTCAGTTTAAGGCTATTTTTTTAATCAGTTCAATCCAAGTTACATTTTATTCTGATTTATGAAGTGGATTTCCAGATGAGTGGCCAGCCTATAGCAGGAAGCATGGCTACCTATTCTAATGAAAATTTGTTAGAACCAAAGAAACTTAAGATGTTTAGTTGCAAGACTTCAACTCAAAGCAAATTTGCCTTTGCCTAATTCCTAGGGGGAAACAACTCCTTTACCTCTTTTCCATTTTATATTCTAGGAGGAGCTCCTGCAAACAGCACATCCTGTAATGAATTAGGTAAAGATACTAATACTGTCTGGCCCGTAGCTCCCCAGGGACTCCAGGAACATGTTTTCAGAATATGTTTATGTCTATATGTTATGTCTGTGTGTTTACTACTGCTTGCTCACTTTCACTAGGCAGATATGAAATATCGTTGCAGGGAGGTGGGAGTTCTCTCTACATCTTGCAACAAGAAGTAGAAGCAGTGGAACAAATTCAGAAGCTGTTTCCAAATTTTGCTTCTGTTGCCATATACAACGATGAAGCAGATCCAATGGTTGGATGGTCCATTCCACAACTGTGGCGAGCTGATGTGACGTATGCAGCTATGGTTGTAAAGGTAACTCAGTTCATTGACAGTCTTATCACAGTAGAGTCTCCTGATGCCTTAATGCAGTTGCAAAAGTAGACTTACAGTCAGTTTTTAAGCAGCCACTCAGAATAATAGATCCAACAAAAGGAGAGCTCCTTATTGATACAGCTGGGGTTTCCCTGAATAGTCTGTTTCAGTAGCTTTATTTAGTTTGTATTCAAATTTTTGTCATGTTTCCTTTAAAAAACAACTCGATACTAGCCTTCCATGTGTTGGAGAATGCATCAGATATTGTATACAGTCCCCCAGTTAGATCCACCTGATAAGACTACACCCACACATCTCCACATAATACTACTGCTGTCATCTCACTACTGCTAGCTGTCACCTCACTTATGTGAGACGTTATTTCCCAGCTCCTTCATAAGTTTGTCTCATTAAGAGACATCAGATATAATTAAGAAGTCCCTTGAGCTCTCAGCATAAGCCCATTCTTTGATTTTGGATAATGACTGTACATGTGGTCTTTTTAATTACTGCTAGTAATTACTGCTGTTCATCAGAAAAGCAGAAGAATAGAATGCTCAGCATCCCTGCCCCTGCAGGAATTGTAGCCTGGCCTCAGAGCAAGCTCAGCTTTTGCCCCTACATAGCAATAGTTTGTGAGCCACTACCTTATACCGTATTCAGAGTCCAAGTGCTCCTGTGCAAAGTAGTAATTCCCCAACCTGGGAGCATGTATGTCACCCAGAAATAAGGTACATCTTATCAGCTGCTGCTATGGAGACAAAGGCTCCCAGCTCCTTTAGGCTGCATACAGAAGCAGTCTTCACCAAAGCAACAAGTCACTGACTGCATTGTAGGAAGTTTGTGAGAGCAAACAACAGTGTTTATAATAACATGGTGATAGGAAGGGAGAAAAAAAGACACATCCAATGGAAAATTAACACTTGGGTAGATAGAAGCTGGAGCCCTGTGCTCTTTCATGGACACAATTATGAGACTTTCTCAGTTGTCAGCCTTCTGAAGTTCTGTTTGATTCTGATACTTAGACACAATCTGGTAAACAGGGAGCTTGGGACCTCTGACACTTTGCAGGAAAGCAGCTCAACAACCAGTGAAATACCAGGAGAACTAATTCCATGTTGGCACCAAGTGGCTAAAATGGCTCATTGAGTAAGAGAATCTAGGACCACCTCCCAGACACTCGTGTAATGGGTACAAAGTAACTCCAGAATTGGAGAACCATTTAGATTCAATTCAGATTGTAAATCCAGATTACTAATTTAATATTCAAGGCAGAGAAATATCACTTGTAATACAGTAGCCAAGGAAATAAATTCATAATTTATGCATAGTACTAGTAATAGTTACTTCAGAGACTTTCTACTGGCAAGACTATGTGGATACTTCAAATTTTCCAGTGATTATCACCTAAAGAATATTTCTCCAAGAGTTGTGAGGAACAGTTTAGTTCTTCAAACTTTTCTAAATGGCACAGTGACAGCTCTTTTCAATATGCTGTAAAGATTTTTAAAAAATAGAGACATTGTTTGTTTGTTGGATTTTCTCCAGGGTGAAGTTCCATCTTCTTTCTGACTTTGCAGGTAATCATCCAGCATCAAAACCTGCTCATTTCCAAAGCCAACAACACCATCAACTACACACTGCTGAGTAATGACAATGCCTTCTTGAGCTACTACCCCCATTACTTCACACAGCGGACTCTGACAGCACGTTTTCAGATGAACAATACAAAGCCACCTCATGTCCAGATGGTGCGGAAACCAGTGCTGACTGTCATGGGCTTGCTGGCACTGCTAGGTATGATAACCACTGATTAAAGAGCACGTCAATAACCTCTTATACCTAGAAGCTTCCTGCCTAAGATTATTCCAACCATATCACCATTGATAAAAGCAGGATTTCTCCTGCCTTCTGTTTACCAGCTGTGTTAAAAAAATGAAACTTAATTTCCTCTGAGAAATTAATAGCTCAGGACATGTTCCTGACAGCCTGTTATCAATTGATTTAATTTACTGCTTGCTTTGTACCGTCCGTATGCCAACCACTCCTTTTTTGTTGTCTGGTACTTCCCTCTTGTGCCATCACATCAGGCTGTAAATGTCTGTAAGAAATCCCCACAGCTGGAAGACCTGTGCAGCACACTAAAGTAAGATCCTAATTCACTGCTAGATGCTTAGATGCTGCTAGCTGAACTGCTAAGCATAAGAACTGCTGTAGTATGTGCATGCTCTGCTGTTATAAAATAAGCCTGTCTGAATGATCTACCTGGTTAAATAAGCTAGAACATAGCTCAGCCTATAGATCCCCATATTTTGACCCTTCCTGTATCAGAAGCCAATACAGGACTGACTAGCGGTGATGCTTACAGAGTTGTCGCATTTTTTAAAGGAGAAAAGCAGATTTTCACAGAAGTGAACAGCAGTGAAGGTGAAAGCACTCAAAACAGCACAATTGGTGTCCTGGCATCTGTGCACACCCCTAGTGAGATGCAGCCCTCAGACAGTTGGCAAGTTACTCTACTGATGTATTCAAGTGTGGATAACAGGACGTCATCCAACATCACCACCGTCACAGTGAACACCACCCACGTCCCCAAACTTAGAGGTAAACAAACATCATGTAGGCAGCTCACATAAGGATCTTTGGGACAGAACATCTGCTGAAACACTTCTGCTGAGTTGCCTTTCATTGCAAGAGTGAATTTCATTGGCTAACTTTCTCTGTCTCTCTTGGGCACTCTTAAGATTTTCTGAGAGAAAATGGCACTCTTCTAGGAAAGGTTCTTTCCTAATGCTTGCACTTGGACCCTGCTTTTAAAAGCAGCTGCAACTGCTGTCTTTTTGGAAAGCAGTTAATCTCAATGTCCTTGGCTGGATATTGCCAAGCCACAATTTCCTTACTGAGATGAGTCCAAGACAGCCAACATGGCCAAATGATTACACAGTTGATGCAATTGTCCAATAAATATGTGCAGCACCTGTGCAAAAAAATAAGAGGGTTTCAATTCTGGTTATGGAAGTAGTAGCTTGAAATTTAAACTTGGCAAATATAAATCATAGACTCTCCAATGGAAGCCGGGCTCTGAAGTGCTGAAAAAAATTTTTAGAAGGTAGACTTAAACACCTTCTGCTAAATTTATTCTTGTTAATCTTTAAATCCAAGTAAAGAGCTTACTCTTTTTCATTTGTGTTCTTAAAGAGCTGGTGTATGTGACATATTACCTGGATAACAACCAAACCAATCCCTACCTGAAGTGGAAAAAGCTAGGAAGCCCTGACTTTCCTTCCCCAGAACAGTTCCAGCAAATAAGGGATGCTGAGGTATGACCATGTGTTTGCTTGAAGTGTTGTATGGGTGAAGTGCTTGTGAACTGGTTAACTACAGCTAAAGAGACAAGTAATCAGCTTGGGTAGTCAAAATTTCCTTAGCCCACAATCATGCGCATCTTGTATATGTATGAAAATGCACTTGCAGTTACGCAGAGAAATGTAGCTGACATGCAACTGATACCTTTGCATTTATGTTATACAAGAGCCTAAATGTGAATGACCAACTTCTTTGCTACTGGCCTACCCTTAACTAAGGAAGCAGACTTGCGCCAGTGCAAGTTCTACCTTCTCTCTGAAACATCAATGAACTTTGAGACCCTTTCTGTTCTGTCTCCCCAGATAAGTCACATGGCCCTGTGTGCATTACAGAAGGGCCAGATTGCTGCATTAGAGAGTTGAAATGAGTCCCCCTCAATAACAGAAAACAAACCACTCCCTGAGGTGGGGACTAGCCAGTGCAAGTTCAGAAGACACTTGGCATCTCTCAGGGGCTCACAGAGGCCTGCGGTTTCCCCTTATCCTCACCAGTTCTGAATGCACCCCAGAGGGGACTGAGGAGTAAGTCCTCTCTGAGGATGCCTCTCCTCCCTACTGAGTAAAGACATGCCCAAATTACTGTATGTGAGAATATGTGAGCAGCCTGTCATGTTAGCTCCCTCTCCCATAGTTTCCCTATGCATTCAGACCCATGGGTTAAGAGACAGGAGGCCACCTTTATCCCCCTGCCTTGGAGCCCATAAACAGTAATTGCCTTCAAGCTTTGGTGTGCAGTACTATGTCTTCTCTTCCCAGTCACCACAACCCACTGTTGCTAAGGGTGGTGGGATACTATAGGAGCCATCAGATCTGCCCTCAACAGGGCAGCAGCAAGGTTTTAGATACTATTGGCCATCTGGTGAAACCTCATCCTCGGAGACCAGCTGAGTGGTTGTGGTGGCTAGCAGTAGCTTTCACTACACACTGGGAATCCATAGGTGAGGCACAGGTGTGTGGTTTGTAAAGACCACTAGCGTGAAAGGCATCCATGGGAGGTTAATAAAAGTGACAGACTGCACCTAAAGGGCATTTGTGATCAGGCCAGTTTGTGAGATAGACCAACCATCTGTTTCCAGAAGAGCTGGAAAACAGGCGAGAGAGAAAAGTCTCCGAGCTTGAAGAACTTTGATGGCTGTAAGGCACTTACCAGTACCAACTCTATTGGAAATTTACAATCCCAAAATAAATACACAGTCACTTTACAGTGATGCAACAGTTGGCCTTTAGATGCTGTAATGAAAGATTATTCACGCTTCTCTTTGGCTCCACAGGACCCAGTGGCAACAGGCCCATTCCCATTTCCTGAAGGTGGCATCCTGACACTGAAGCAAGACTTCCCCATTCCCTCAGTCTTTCTTATCCACATTTGTGCAAGACCCAGATCTGTTCCTGATCAAGTATGTGCTGTATTCTACTGTCAGACTCACGAAATTAGAAGCTGCTTCCTGCTTTAAGTCTTACTAAGAAGAGCTGGACTAGCATTTGGGCCTATTATTTGTTAGTAAATAAACAATTCTTCTATCCTTTGATGAGAAGGCTCTCCAAGGCATAATTCAGGATAAAACATTCCACAGCAAGTAATAGGAGCCATCACTGAGATAAATACAAGTTTATCCATGGTGGGAGAATAATTATACAGTACTGGATAGTGCAGTATCTTTTTTAAAATCACATCATGTGCTACCAGGCTTGACAACAGCTCTCCAGTTAATAATTGATAGCTAAAAATAAACTGGAATCATGGCTGTCATAGATTAGACATCTGTATCTGTTCATTCAGTCCCACCCATGTTCATAGTGGTGGCCAGAGCCTCTGAAAGTCCTCTGCAAGTTTGACAGGTTGGAGACATAGGCTGCAAAGCCATAGAGCCCGGAATTTTGTTTTTTCCCCCCAATCTCCATAGAAAGAATCAAAGCAAATAAAGTAAGATGAACACAGAAATCTGACATAGCTGATGGGTTTGTATAGTTTTCTTACATGGGTGTATCTCTTTGGACAGGTGACTGGTGTTCGTTTGATTCCTCTCACAAAGGGGCAGGTCATTGTGTTGTGGGACGATAGCTGTGTAAATTCAAAGTAAGTAGCTTTTAAAATAAAATAGATATAACTGAGTTACCAGCACATTACTCCCCAAGTTGCCACCAATCCTGCAAAGTGAAATGAGTTCACAAATTAATGACTGCTTGCTCCTTGAGAGGTGCTGCAGAACATTTGTCTGACCAAATCACCTGTAGGACCTACATGCAGTAACTATTGAGAGCAACCCTGTCTAATTTGTGTTCTGAGCAAGAGAATCTGCCTGTTGCTTACCAGCATCCAGTGGCATTTTTGAGGGACTTGCCTTCAGCACAGCAGGCAGGAAGATCCATGATAAAAGTTACCCTGGTTTGGGAGTAAAAGATGCTTAGCAATTTGTGATGTTGCAAGTACCAAATATAGCAAGTCAGCCTGGGTGTTCTGTGGGCTGTTGGAGCCTTGGTTCTTCCTAATACTGACAATTCATGCCATCCCACATTTGGTAGGAATGAGTCAACTGAGTATTCCCTATTTTTGTCCTTCTTTGTTGAAATGGCCCTGAGATTAGGATTTGATTGCTCACTGCATTATCAGTTGTATTTACTGAGCTGTCTGGTTTTCTTTTCTAGATGTATAAAGACATTTGAAGTGGAGTTCTCACCAGATGGAAAAGCATACCGGCGGATTAATGCCAAAGACACAATATTCACTGTCTGGGTCTACAGTCCAGGTAAGGCAAGAATAGGCATATTACGTAATCTGTCATGTTAACAGTGCAACTCTTGAGTGTGTGAAACATCATTTAGTAATTACTGAAGGTACGTAGCTTGCTTCCATCATAAATAAAAGCACATCCTTTCCTTTAGGGCTACGCTCTCAGTGAAAGGCTTATTCTCAAGGACAAGCACTAATTGACAAATAGTCATGAGGACATTATTAGGAGTATTGCCATGAGTAAATTCCTTGTCACAGAAACCAAAGTCACCCAGCTGCAGGCCTGGCAAGCTCCCTGAAAGGCAAAGCAACATGTTTGTCTCTATTTGTGGCTGACATAGAAGCATGCAAAAATGAGAACAAAAAAAGTTGCTCCACATGACCAGAGCTTGGTGTTGTGCTCTTCATAGTAGACTCATAGCAAGGCAAGTCTGAGGTTCGGGCTCAGTCTCACAGGTATTGGCCATGCCTTTGCCTAAATTTGTGCAGTGCTCTTGGGGTAGGGTAGCAGGACCAAACTGCCTTGGTCACACTTGGTTTGTACTGCTGAGTATAGAGGTGTTAGACTGCCTAAGGATATGGCATCAACACACAAATAAGTGGGAGGTCATGTCCACCTTTCATGGAGGGGTTGGCTGTCCTGTATTTGTCATGTTTTGAGCTGCTCCAGGACAAGGTTGCAGTTCTCTTGTCATGGGTCACCTGTGCCTGTTCCCATACCCTTTTATGGCTGGGCAATCTTAAGCTATTGATGTGCTCCCTTGTAAGAACAGAAGAGGTCCTCCTGTAGGACAGTTTGTCCAGGCTATCTGAACACCTAGCCAAGGAAAGACCCCTCTGCTGTTTCCTAGAGCTTTCTCTTTAGCTCTGGCTAGCTGCCTAAGTTTTAGATGTTTCACATTAAAGGGCAGCGAGTTTTGTCTTTGTCAACAGGCAAAGCTTCTCCCAGAGCCTGTGGTCATTTCTCCTCAGGTACTGCCTAGATACTAAGAAACATACTCAGGTGAAAAACACTGAAAGAAGGTAGCGATGTTTTCTTTGGGTATTTTTTTTTGTGGTTTTGGGGCTTTTTTAACCAAATGTGGTATAATCTGCAATGTGACTGTTCAACAAGTACTACTAATGAGCGCTGACAAGAGCTGTGTGAAACATAGACAGACCTTGCTTCCAAATGATACTAATAAAGAGCAATTCAGAGAGGTTTTTGGCAGAACCACAATCTCATCTCAGCAGTGAGTACATAATAAAGTTCAGAGCTATTATTGCAATGTAAAGGGTACACAGGCAAGCAAACTCTGTAAATCATGGCTAAGGCAAATCTCTGAAATTAGGATTCATTATCATCTAGTACTGCACATCTGGGGAACCTACCAGATTTAATTGTTTGTTTCAAAAACAAAAAAGAAAAAACTGCTTGAAAAAAACTGGCATCTCAGCAGCCTTTATTGCTAGGTACTTCCTTCTCACTCATTATTTCTAGCATTCTTTTTCTTTTAGAAAAAAATACTAAACACACACAAAAATTAAGTGAATAGATGAGAAAAAAGAATTTATGTTGCATGTGAGGTTAAAGACTGCCAGTGAAGGCTGTGTTCTTTGAACTGGATCAAGGATAAAAACAAGCAGAGCCACAGAACATCAACTCACATACCTTTGGAGCAAGTGATGCTGCTTCCTGAGTTGACCAGAGAGTTTTCAGTCAGTCTGCATGCTTCTTGTTCTGCTTCTTTGTTGATCCTTTCCTCATGTAACCTGTTGCAACGGCACAATTCAGGCAGAAAAGTAAGTTAGAAAAAAGGAAATTACTAGTTGTGGATTGCAGAAGATGTCATAGTTTTCTTCCAAAGGGACTGCTGGGACAGCAGTCCTGTAGCTATACTTGTACTTGTAGCTGCAAATCCTAATGAGGAGAGAGGAGATCCTTGGTGCAACAAAGAAAAAGAGCCAGTACTTGGCCAGGAGCAATTTATAATATTTTTTAGCTAGACAGGCACAGGCACACTTACATAGGGTACAGAACTGATTTCACCACTTCCCCATCCCATCCCACAAACCTACGTTTTATAGGAGTAATGCCTGCTCCACATCCTCCAAGCACCACAGGTGTCAGTTTTTCACAGTGACCATTTCTAACCTTTCATTTGCAGGAAGCTCAGTCTCCGGCTTTTACAGAGTGCGTGCCATTGACTACTGGGGGAAGGCAGGCCTGTCCTCTCTTCCTGTGGAGTACGTTGAAGCTTTCAAGTGACTCTGAAGAGTGGTGCCTGGCTTGGTGACTGAGCGGTGTATGCTCCCTTCAAATGACAACTCCCCAGAAAAATAAGCTCCTCCCAGGCTGAGGAGGGAGTATCAAAATGACCTGATGAAGCAGGCTAGGAATGCAAGTTAGAAGCTACTGCCCCTGTTAACTCTTCAGAGCAAAAAAGGCAGCATTATCAAACAGCCACAACTGACAACCCAACTGGTACAATTGTAAGAGGCTGCTGTAGGGCTGGGATTCAGCTTGGTAACTAGGAATTATGGGAATAAATGTTTATTATTGCCTATTTTACACTGAGCTAATAGCCAGGATAACCAGAGCTTTATAGAGGTCACAAACTGCAGCAGAAACAGGAGCATCGCTTCACCTTATGAGTGAGGATGGCAGCAAAGGCACAAGGAGAACCTGTCAGAGAGTGAACTGCCTGCCTCAGCTGCCTGGCTGTCTTGACATAATGGTTTGATGGAAAAGTGCACAGCAACCAGATGCGTCTGGAGCTTCTCCACTGGTTAGTCACACGTGCTCCAGTGGGTTATTTCAGAGCACTTGCTATGTCTTCAGATATATGAAGTTCTTCACCCCATCGCAGAAGGGTTTCCACCCAGCTCTCTCTGCATTTGTGGCTATTTGGATGCCAGAGATACTTCCCTCACATAGGCAGAGGAAGGGGTAGCAGCTCATCCTCAAGGGGGAAGAAGGCAAAGGAAGCTCTGGTCTCCAGACTTTCCTGCCTTTTCTGCTTTCTGCGTTTGCCCAAGTCACCTGTTTGCACTGTGGCCATCAGCCACTGCCTCTTTGTGGTGGAGGCTCTAACCCTGAAAGCCCCTCTTTCTCTCCATTCTGTCACCTAGCCTGGCCTTCTACAGCCCTTACAGCTAACATCTCTCCCCAGCATGCCACCCCTCCCAGCCTGTAAGTGACCTGAGGATTGGCGGCCAGGAGAAAGCTGAAATGCTAGTTAGAGCCTTTTGTGTTTTCATGTTACAGGAGAGCACGCTCTTGAATGTAACAGGACAGCTCTGCCAACCACTTAGGAAATTAATCAAGAACAGTTTGAGCTTCTGTGCTTTGCATAACATGTGCACGAGCGTGCGATAGCCCCAGATCATGGGCTGCAGAACACCTCTGGCTGCCCTTGCAGCTGCCGAACACTTTATGTAATGGCAAAGTTCCCTGAAATTGCAGGGGTGTTTTTTTACTCTCCCCTTTTCACAACTGGCACAGTTTGAACTGTGCCTTTAAAATGCTTGTAGAGGGAAGGATAATGCCAGTGAAAACAGCTGGAGTGTTTTCCATAAGAGGAGCAACTTTGTCGCACAAACAAATCCCCTACTGCGCTCTTTGCTGACATCAGCCACCTCACCAACATAACAACAAAGAATGCGTACTTGATGAAACATTCAGGTCTCAGACAAAAAAAACAAGTTTGCACAGTAGGAGAGAGCTGAACTACCTCAAATGGCCTCACTTTTACAGCACAGAAAAGAAACATATACAAAAAGTTAGTATATATGAAATGAGGCCTTGTATGTCCTTACCTTCTGGTCATTTATTCATGTACTTATCCTGAAAGTTAGCCTTAAAAGATTCATTTTGTCACAGAATTCAGATGAAATATTTCTTGCCTCACAGAAATTTGAATAAGGAGCACTTGTCACATCCTAATCTGCCAATTCATCACCCATAAAGGCTTGTGCAGAACAGAAAAGGGCCATTGGACCCTACTGAATTGATAACTTTCTCAGTTTCAAAAAAGTCAATGAGAAGCTCTACCTGGATGGAGATAGTAAGAATACATTTCAAAGTTGTTATAACTGCCGCTCCTATCTGTCACTAAGTCCCTCTTTTAGGGCTAAACGCCATCCAAAGTGTGGAAGAGACAGTGCTTTTTCAGGTATTTTCCTGTAAGTGGCAAATATGCATAGAAAGCAGAGCTGACTAAAAATGGTGCACTCTCTGTTCAGATCCAAGTTTTGAATATACAGCAAAAGTAGTTTCTTCTTCTTTTTTACTGCTTTGGTATAAACTTACTCCTTTAAGAAATTAGCAAGTCTCAACAATTGCAGCAGAGAAGAGAATTTGCTATTTCCAGGCTTGAATTTATTTCCAACAAAATATGGAAGTTTTGGGCTGCCTTTTTTTTTAATATAATTTAATGTCTACAGAAAAATGCTATTTAATACTTGAAACTTGAGTTTTCTGTAACCATCTGTCACTGGCTCTGTCTGATAGAACTTCCAAAATTGCATGTTTAACTCCACCATCTCCTCCATTATTGGGCAGTGATCAGCTCCCCCTCATTTTTTTTGTTTCAGTTTTCAGAAGTGCCAGATGTGAATAGCGCTAAGTGGGAGTAGCGGGTGCTCTGTAGTTCTGTAGCATCAGAACCAAAGCAAGCCTGCAGGGCACTCAGATATGTCTCTCGCTGGCCATAAATCCAAACAGGAATATCTAACTGCAACTGCAAGATGAGGTTCTTTGCCTACTATCCAACCAAAAGCTTCTGAGGCTAGGTAACAGTTTGGCAACTGTTAAAATAAATGCTAGGGAAAAACCTTTCAAAGGAGTGTTTTATATTGGCTAATTATGTCTACGCTGCATTTGTTACCATATTTTGTGCTACCCAGTAAAACCAGTTTTTAATCCTTCACATGAACCCTGTAAAAACAGGATCTGATCATTGTGTTCTGGAAACTGCTCAAAACTCTTGTGTCAACAACTTAATCTTGGAAAGTAAAGCCTGTTCTGCCCCTGCTCCTCTTCCTGTCACAGCAGTTACAAAGCATGGGACATGACATTCTCCTTATGGTCCAAAGTTGCACTTCATAAAATCATAGAATGGTTTGGGTTGGAAGGGATCTCAAAGATCATTTAGTTCCAACCTCCCTGCCATGGGCAGGGACACCCTCCACTAGACCATGTTGCCCAAAGCCCCATCCAACCTGGCCTTGAACACTTCCAGGGATGGGGCATCCACAGCCTCTCTGGGCAACCTGTTCCAGTGCCTCACCACTCTAACAGTGAAGAATTTCTTCCTAACATCTAATCTAAATCTGCCCTCCTTCAGCTTAAACCCATTACCCCTTGTCCTGTCACTACACTCCCTGATAAACCGTCCCTCACCATCTTTCCTGTAGGCCCCTTCAGGTGCTGGAAGGCCGCAATTAGATCTCCCCAGAGCCACCTTTTCTCGAGGCTGAACAACCCCTACTCCCTCAGCCTGTCCTCATAGGAGAGGTGCTCCAGCTCTCTGATCAATTTCATGGCCTCCTCGGGACTCGCTCCAACAGCTCCATGTCTTTCTTGTACTGGGGCCCCCAGATAGCTTGATTGGTGCGAGTTCCAACATCATAGAAAACTGCAGCATGAGGGAGTGTGACTATAACAAATTTCAAGGCTCAAATAGGCACTTAAATGCATAGATTGCCTCAGTTACCACAGCCCAGGGAAAACTGGTCTAACTCAACATGATATTGTAACGTCAGATCTCAGGACTTGCAGTGTCCTTGCTGGGAGGAGGTTCACTGACGTGTGAAGGACGATATCCTTGCAGGGTTCCTCCTGCTGTTGCACAGTCATAGCCTTTCTGCCAGCACTAATGGACTTTCTGAGGACAAAACAACAGTCCTTTTCATTTATAAACAGCTTTTTCTTTTCCCTTGTTAGTGGAAAGTTTGTGCAGGACAGAAATTATGACTTGGGACCTATACACACACTAAATACCAGGAATAATAGACTGGATTTCATCAGCCAGCTCAAAGAGCAGACAGAAGTGTGCCTGCCTCTAGACATACCCTAGATGTTTTATGTTGAACTCAATGAAATAACAAGAGAATTGTAAATCATATCAGCATACACTTGCAGCTGCCTGCCCTACCCTACCTTGTGTTTCACATTTCCTGCAGTAAATGGGCATGAGCTAACTCCCATCTGTTTATTAACTCACCAGATCATATGATGAGGGCCTGCATGTGGTCCTGATGGGAACGTGTTCCTTTAGTTCCCTGTAAGAACATGACACTTCCTGGGGCATGTGTAAGTCCATGGTGTATTCTCCCAGAATCACCAATATCTTCCTATGAACCTGGAGGCACAACCTTGTGTGGCTGAGAGGGGATTTCATTGCCTAACTCATCTGGACAGACTATACCAAGCACGGTAAGGATGCACTTGGTTCTGCATATAGATCGTTCTTGCTAGAACTCACATCTGCTCTGGTCATACAGTTATTATAACTGTAGACATTAAAAATCCCACTTCTCTAGGATGGTAGTATTGGTCTGAATGTCTTGGCCAAAGGCCAGGCTCCTTCAGCTAGGGGTTAGCGTTGTCTAATCACTGGTGATACAAGTCCTAAGTTCACAGATCTCCACCCCAATACTTCCTCATGGGAGAGGGGGCAAGTGGTGAACATTCAATCAATGCTCTGACCTTGCACTTAGTCCAGCACAAAAGGCTGATATTTTTTCAGCACTCAATAGTCTCTATCTATGTGGGGTTTTGTTTACATTTCTTGCTGCTACTTTTCTGTTTCTGCTTTAGATTGTAGTTCACCATCTTGTTCCCTGTCAGGGTAGCTTTCCCTAGATGAGAAGAGCAAGAAACACCTTTATTCAGTGCTGGCTGAGAGCCTTAGGAGTCCTTCCTGGAAATCCTGGAAAACGCAAGCTTGAGAGATTTCCCTGCATCCCTGCAATAATGTCTCTGGCCTTGGAGAAGAGACTTTAGTCAGTGGTTTTTATGCTCCTTTCAACAGATGCAGTAGATAATCATTGTATACTGTAGATAAGATTGTACAAGCATCTTGCAGAAGCTGTTTTATAGTGTAGCACTCTGAAGGTCTTCAGTATCAACCTTGTGCCACACACCTTTTGGAAGCCTTGGGACCAGAAGCTGTTCAGCTTCGTCTTCCCTCTATGCTTGGGAATCGTGACTTGGAAAAATCTGTGTTGCTGACAAACTGCAGGGTTCAGCCGGGGGTGCTGGGGATGTGCCAGACTGGTAGTTTTATTCATAGGAAACATTCAAAGTTAATGTAATTTTACTAAGAGCAGTGGGAGATACTGTTTGAGTGCACCCTCAGTCAGTTTGCAGATGACACCAAGTTGGGTTGGGAATGTTGATGTGCTGGAGGGTAGGCAGACTCTACAGAGAGGGATCTAGACAGGCTGGATTGATGGGC